ACTTTAATATGGGCAATTTTCAATTGATAATAAATGCAAATTTAGCGATAACGGTGGTCCAGGATTTATGCGCTGTAAAAAAAACATTTTGATGAATTTCGAGAAAATAAAGTCACAATCATTACTTACTAGTAATTACCTTTCTATGGTAAAAGTTTGAGGGAAAACTATTTTCTGACCCGAAATGCAGTGGGCCGCTTTTACAGAGACTGCCTCTCAGTTATAACAAGCCTAATTAGGAGTGGTTATGACTGAGCTTCGAAGGTCTTCACTGACCACCATAACTAATTCACATCCATTGAAAGGACCTTTTTCTTAATCAAAAAGTTACACATATGTTTGGATCAACGCAAAACAAAACAAAAATAATTAAATATAGAAAATTATAGAAAATTAAATGCCCTGCAGATTTTCAAAGTTTTGTTAGATTTTCTGAAAAAAATTCTAGTCCATATAAAGAATTATTTCCTAGAGAAACCATTTTCATTGGTTTGATAGGTTAGTTTACTTCATAACAAAGAAAATTTACGATCAAAATCTTGTTTGAGTAGGTATCATGTTTAGGTCACCCGTCTAAATACTAACCCCCCTCTGCCGGGCTTGACTCGGTATCAGTGAGGCGATGCTCATGTTTTTTCCACCGAGCCAAGAATCTACGGAATCAGCATAACAATAGGCCGTGAAAACAATGCACCAGATAGACTAGACTTTTTGACAGTACTTTTTCAACCGATTCCGTGCGTGGCAGAGATGCATTAGCCGATATGGTCTGGGGGCCGGCTGGTCTCTCCCCTGATGCTTCGGCTAGAACATTTTCTTGCGTAATTCGTACACCCAAGGGCAGAAGGATTTAATTGCTGTCAGGTCCGAAGTCCATACGACGCCCCAGCTCTGCGGATGTCTCGGGGGTATGGCACAGTGGAATTGCGATTTTTTTTTTTTTTTTAATTTTATTTATTTATTTCTTTTGTGGACTCAAGTCCAAATACCACCTTTTGAAAGATTTTTTTTTCTTTTTTTACCCGCATTAAATTTCACAAAACATTTTTATTTCTAGCAGTTTTTACTACGGAAGCCCCTGGAGGGACATTTCAGACTTCAAACTTCAGACTTAGGATATTTCAGACTTCGGACTTAGGATATTTCAGACTTGTTCGGACTTCGGGTGGACTTCGCCATAGTACAAACTCATTAACAAAATGGAGGAAGAGGTAATTTCTTTCTAGACTCAGTCTTTTTGCTAACTAAAAAATCTATGAAGCTTTGGCTGCTACATCACTGCGTGGGACAAGCACAACAACCGGAGAACGCGGGGAAAACCCTTGAAGCACGGGAGAGAACTAAAAAACAACTCCACTCACATGCGATACCGTAGCCTGCGTAGCTCGGCTCTAGGGCGGAGGGGGGGGGGAGGGGTGGGGAAGAGGAGAAGAAGGGAGAGCCCTCCCTTCTTTTTCCTCGGCCCTCTCCCCCCATTTCCCCTCCCCCTCCCCTATAACCAAGCTACGCAGGCTAGCGATACCGAATCTGGGTCGCCTTGGTTAGACGCGAGCGCTCTCGCCGCTACGCCACCCATGCTTCCTTTTAGAGTGTTTGATAAAATTTGTATCCTAATCTATTGMTAGCAATTTAAACTGGTACTGAACTGGTACAGATCTTAGCTTTCTAGTCGAGTGCAAGGCCTGGACAACGCTCTTTTCACAGGAATCCCAAGCAAAGCAATTTCAATTTTGAAATTTACTTATTATATATCTGAAATCTGAAGTTTCAACTCTGAAGTCTGAAATTTAGGCTTCAACTCTGAAGTCTGAAATTATAAATCAGTGAATGACAGTGAAGTCATTGGAACCTGGATGTAACTATAAAGCTGGATGATTCATATTCGACCAGAATTTGAAACTCGAAAAGAAAAAAGCTTGAGTTTTGCTAAATGTAAACATAAGGCTGGGAAGCGCTGGCTGAAGTCCGATACGAAGTCTGAAATATCCTAAGTCTGAAGTCTGAAATGTCCCTCCAGGGCTTCCGTAATACGTTTATCCAATCTTCGCATGACTTTTCTTTTTCTTTTTGCTGTGTAAAACCATTTAAGTAAAGTAAAGAGAGATTTTTAAACCTACACGCTAATCCAACAGCAGTACGTATTCTTTCAATTTGCACAGTTCTTGATAGGTTTCCACAGCCACAAGCCCAACAGCGTTGTACACGATTATTCTAGTAAATAGATATAACAAAGCCTTGTGGGATGGTGTTGTGGCTAAACTTTGTAAGCAAATGCTTTTGTTGCAAGGAAAATTAGAATAATCTAGGGGTATTCCTTCACCTCATTTTGGAGTACGTATGTCTTGACCTGATTCTGGACAGAGTTAATATATTAAAACTGAAAAAAACTCTGTTCTGGAGTATTTTTCCCCTGAAATTTATTGTCATCTCTTGACGGGTTGCCGGTCATTACACACTTCACCATGCATTGCCGGGCTCAACGACCAGCAGCCGGTCAAGAAAAACAAAAGTTATAATGTAACCGACATGCCAGTTATATTTATTTAAAAGCACGATCGATGATTTTATACGTATGCGAGTTGGCATAGGCGAGTTAGGACGTAGGGGAGTTGACCTAACTTGAACCAAGATACCACAGGGAGCCCAACCTCTTTACTTTAACTAATTGTTCTCATTTACTATTAGAAACCAGAATGTGACTTTGCGTCATTGGAATGGCCTATTTATCCCTTCCCAACTCAATGCAATGTCGATTATTTTGCTACCATGAAGTTCACATCCAGTAAAAGGACTTTTGGCTACTAAGGCTATCCTTTTTTCAAATGACCATATTTAAGGGTATCCTTGTTGAGGTCATGAAGACGGCAAAACAAGACTAAAGACTTCGTAGGTAAAATACCATATATTTTCTCTTCTCGGGCTAGTTAATAGCAAAAATCTACTTTAGACATCTACTAAGAATATATTTCTTACGAGAAAAGGGRATTTTTTATAGTTATTTAGTGCGTTAACTTACCTTTTATCACCCTAAAAACTACCCGAATCCGCCATCTTTTTTTACATTCTCGCATAGCTAAAATCCTGTAGAATGCCAGCCACAATGGCGGATTTGATCACGTGACCTCATAGTGAAATTTGTCTATTTAAACTCTGTCATCTAACTCGATTAGCGTCCGCTGTTTTTAGATGACATGTACAAATAGGTTTTTCAATTTTTTTCTATATATGCTTTACTGCTCTTGTTAATGTAATTGTACAAATAAAGATGTTGTTGTTGTCGTATGTTGTATTAATTCAAGTTTATGTTTTATATAGGTTCTATTTAAGAATTTTTACATTTGGTTTGAGCTTAATTAACTCAGCACACTGTTAATTTTTCATTTACTATCGACAAGAGAATATGAATACTTAATATTCTCTTGCTATAGATCACTATAACTTTTAAAGACAATTTTATATTTTATATYGTAAAAAGCATTGAGACCTAGTAATTATGCGTTTTTAACGAATTAAATTATTATTATTATAGCATTCATTGTAATAAGAATTCGCAAAAATCGGTGAAAATGTTTGGTTCGTAAGTCACGTGATCACCAATGCTACCAAGTTTCGTTATAATAACATGCCTCGTTCCCGAGTTATGGCCAAGGGGCCACCAGATGCGTGTGGGGCCACAAGATGCGGGTCCATTAGAGGTGGGTACGATGGGGCTAGCAGAAGCACTTAATAAATAAGTATTATTTCATTTCATGAAATGATAACATGCAATTGTTCGTAAATCAAAACTACTGGCAAGGATCGGCGAAAATGTTTGGTTGTTAACCCACGTGATATGCGACGTCACGTCATATCACGTGGTCAGATCACTAACATCACAAAGGTCACAAAAGTTAGAAGTTTCGTTACTATTGCACTTATTGTAATAACTATTGGCGAAAATCGGCGATGTTTTGTTCGTAAGTCACGTGATATGTGACGTCACGTCATATCACGTGGTCAGATCACTTACATCACAAGGCTCACCCAAAGTAAGAAGTTTCGTTACTATTGCACTTATTGTAATAACTATTGGCGAAAATCGGCGAAAATGTTTGGTTCGTAAGTCACGTGATATGTGACGTCACGCCATGTCACGTGGTCTGATGATTGACAACACAAGTTTCACCAATGCTACCAAGTTTCGTTACCATAAATTGCTTCGTTCCCGAGTTATGGGCAAGGGGCCACCAGATGCGTGTGGGGCCAGGAGATGCGGGTCACCAGGTGTAGGCAAGTGCTAACCTTACTTGCCTTCTAGAGTGAACAGACCCGGGGAGAGGGGGGAGGGTACTTGAGCCCGTTTTGGATAGGGATGTGCTGCAAGAGCTATAAAGCCCTGATGACCCTATTTAGGACACTTCACTTTGAAAAATTGATACCCTATATTCGCTTTGTTGCCAAAGTTCGTTTTTTTCGTTTACTCAACCCTACTGTTCATTCACTTTTAAACCAAAATTTCTCAACTGCAAGTGGCTCCCAGGCTATAATGTTTACTAATCTGGTTTACATAATCATAATTGTGTCAAATTATCCTCAAATACTTCAATCATTCGGACTTTGAAAAATTGAGGCGTTTTCATTCAAGTGCCCCTTTAAAATGTATACCTTATGGAAGACAGCAAGGCCAAAAACCATACCCTACCCAGCGGCACATATATACCCTTATAGRTTGCTATCAATAGACGTCACTTCCGGTAATAGCTCTTTTTTGATGGCTTGTAGAATCCTGGAGGTTGTTTTGATCTCTTGTTTTCTGGTTTGATGTCGTGAAAATAGTCAAATACAATAGTTTGAGGACTTATTTTGATATATTTTGACTTAGCATCCGCTAGTTGCCCCCCAGTCAACCGCTTGTTTGCCCCCCAGTCAACTCCAAAAAGTCACGTGATTGATAGTAAGCAATAGGAAAAATATATATGTATACGAGTACATTCCCCTCCCCCCCGGATAACAGACCAGCGTTTCACGGGAATATTTCGAGTCCTTTTATTTCTCCATATTTACTCTTGATAGACCCAGGGTTATACGAAGCTAGTAGGTGTAGAGGATAAGGCACTTTCTTCATATTTACTCTTGATAGACCCAGGGTTATACAAAGCATGTATTGATGCCCTTGTTTTTCTAGTTCGCTCTAAATAATTCGAAATATCCGGAAAGTCAGTTGCGTCATTTTGATTTTTTTTGTCTTTTCTAATCTCAAAGAGTTTTCTGTGGACTTCAGCAGAAAAGCGTCTTCTCCCCCGTTCATAGGTCTCCATGGATGGACTTGAATCACGGTAAATAAGCCCCATGTTGTATAGCTTGGTTTCGATGAACAAAAATATAATGCACAAGATGGCTAGCGACACACCCACGAAGAAGACACCGCTCAATGACTGTTCGTTGAGGCGTTCGTGTAGTTCTTCGGATGATGTTTTTAAAGGTCGGACCCATTTCTTGTAGAGCTCACTTGGCCTGAATGCAAGATGGGAAATCGTTCATTTTTAAATTAATCGTCGTATTATATGAGCACGGTGAGCTCCCCTGCATGAATTAAATAATGTGCGCTGTTTTTGGTTTTTAAACCTGCTATAAGTTTAAAGAGAATACATCTATTTCAAGAAGGTTTAGTGAAGGTTGTGTTGCATGTCGCATAACAAGCCCGAGATGCACGATGGGCAATGTGAATGCAATTAATTAAGGTTTACACAACACCGCCTTTATTTTCCCAAAACTTTGTATGCACACTTCTTTTTCGGCATAATTCTTTTCTGCTGATATTACGACATTACATTTCAAGCTTAGTAGTAAGCAGCACGAAAGCATGCAACATGCAACATGCAGCATGTTACATGCAACCAAAACCTTTATCAACCTTTTTTGAAATGTAATCAATCTTTTGCACACACACAAAAAAAAAACAAGCATTAATTTTGTTTTGCTAAGAGTGCTTCTTTTAAAGCAGTAGAATTCAAGACATTAGTCGGTGGAGTGGGAAGATAAGTAAACCTAGGCATTTAACAGATTATATTAAGTTAATTAATGCCCCCTCTCCCTCCCCTCAATCTTCTTTTGAAAAAACCCTGGGATTCCTTCCCGCACAAACTGGGATAAGTGTAGAACGGTATTAGCGCTATTTCAATACTTCGTCCACTTGGCAGGTTTAGCGCATCATATTGCGAGTTCCCTTGCAGACATAGCATGTTCCGTGACTAGATTTTAAAGCTTGATGTTTAATAGCAATAACTGCTTACTTGTTTTCAGCTTTCATCTTATTGATAACCAAGTTAAACTTGGGCTTCCATGATGAATTCTTCCTAAAGCTGTACGAGTAACCCGTGTCGGCAAAGGTCTTCGAAGCGCCAACCACCTGTAGTCGAGGATATCCATGATTCTTTTGCTTGGACACTTCGTAATCTAGAGACAGAATTTCACTGATGAAGACATTCAGTTCCCTGTTATAAAATAGAATGAGAATAAAGAAAATGTCATCGACAAATCAAAGCAAGTTATTTTCATAAGATAGACATTTCTGTTCTTTTTTTCTATCGCTATAATTCATTCATGACAATCTATAGCGAGATCTTGATTCCAGGGGAAGGGGGGAGGGGGCAATGTGCCATTTTTCCGCCAAATCCACAGGTATCCCGCATGAATTAATTACATTTTGGTGCCGGCAGCAAACTTTCTCCCCTCCTTACGCTAGTGCGTAAAGTAACGACAGACAACAATCATGGCGGACCATGGAGTCGTGTGAAAAACAAGAATTTACCAAGACACGATCTTTACATTTTTTTCCAGCCTTTGGGTCATGTTTGGCTCGAAAAAAATGTCCTTCTCCTATTTCAATTTTTACTGTCTTTGCTGATTTAAATAAATATTTCTAAATATTTGCGAATGATGTTTTTTCTAATACTTTCTTCTCCTTCCTCATGTCTTTGTCACGCACGTGTAATATTCTTGCCCTTCCTTATACATAATCTCCGCATATTATCAATGATTATATATTTCTAGTCACTACATAACTACCCTACTTCAGTCGTCCTCCTAGCCTCCTTTGCAGATGTCCTTAGGGGCCGTAAAGAAGGCTATCGCCCTCCCTCCTTAGGTCAAAAGGTTTAACATCCCCCCCTCCCCCTTAGTCCAAAATAAATTGTATGATATATGAAAAATATAATTTATGTGGTATAAGTGCTTAAAAATAAGTACTTATACAACATAAATTACATTTTTATGCCTTTATACCACTCATAAAAATTATGCACTTATACCACATGAATTAAGTGCTACACTCTGCATTAATTAAGTGCTACACAGTTTATCGTTAACTGGAAATTCATCATAAATTGAATTACCTTTTTTTCACTTTGTCAACACCATCGGTGAAGTTTTGTACTAAATGTCCTCTTCTTTGCATACGTTTGAACAAGGACTGCATAACTGAATCCTGATTTAGTTCGAAGTAATTGTCCACGTAACTCGACTTGACCACACCAAACGTCAACTTGGAACTTTCAACTGTTAACTAATGAGATAACACTAATCAGACATGAAAGCGCCAGATTACTGCGGCGCACAGCGAGTATCCGTTTTAGTACATTTAAACCTATTAAAACATTTTCCTAATTTTACCCGGAGATAATGAAGTTTATTAGATGTTTTCCTGCTGTCTCCGCCATGATGGCGTCACCCACAGATAAGACATTACATGTACTGCATACATGAATATATGGGTAAGTTAAGATAGTATTAAAGTTTTTATCACTGCCTGCTTAATTTTTCCTTTAAAGAGTAACTGTTCTTATATATTTAAAGCTTAAAAGTACCGTGTCCTTGGACGGCAGCGTATGCAGCATTGTGATTGGATAAACAATCACAGGGCGTTGTGATTGGATAAACACTAACAGGGCGTTGTGATTGGATAAACACTAACA